TAAATTGTGCACAATGCGATGTTCCTAAACGGTGAGCATGGCTTTGATCTTGGTGGACGTGAAGGAAGTGAAATACTTGGGTAAGAAGGGTGTCGAATAAGAACCGGAGATCGCATATATAAGTAAAGGATTATCAATTAAACTCCATTTGCCAAATAGGCAAATGTTAGTTGACCTGAGGTGTGCGATGGACTTACCTCCACGTGGTGCATCCTGGGCAACGTATACTCATACGGCAAAAAAGTCTATTAATCGGCAGTTGACTTCTGATTTCAAAATACAATGGCACGACTGCTTGTCATATTCGACCCCTTCCACAGTACTCATCTTACCTTTTCTCTGCCTTTGTGTCTGTCTGCCTCTTTTCATCTGTGAATCGCTCTTCTGTTCCCCACCCCTCGACTTTCTGCTACTTTGATGAACCTTCCCTCTGTGAAGCCCGAAGTCAGCTTAATGGCTAATGATAGCTATCAAAACGCCTGCCATTTGAAATAAATAAATAAATTTTAATTGACCCAAAATTTAGGCCAAAATTTAAAATTTCAGACGTCTGTCAATTATTTCCAGCAGGTGGAATTTTGTATTTCCTTTTCAAGACTCTATGGAAGATGGTGGGATAAGAATACATCAATTTAAGCCGATATATTCTCTCCGTTCAGTAATAAATACTACCACGGTCTTTCAGGGCCCAAATCATCTTCACATTTATAATCACTAGTAAGCTTAAAGAATTTTCAAAAGGATATCAGAGGCTGAAAGCTGAGGTTCATAAGACAGTAGAAAAGTGGCAGAAGTTCGAAAAGCAAGTGAAACCGCGTGCTAAGTGTTCAACGGAGAAAAATATGATGCGTGACCTCATATTTGTATTAACTTTAATAAAATACAGCCATAATATCGTTTGTTCTTCCGTCATTTACTAATATTCAGTAAAAATAGAGAATACGATATACGTTTATTTCAAAAAGCATAACTAAAAATGGACTTTCCCATTCGAAGAAATATATTTAAGGTTCTCCGTTATTCATTGCTGAACAAACATTACCTCACCCATTACAATGGAAAAGGTGGAGTTGGACAGATAATAATGAGGTGGGAAAAATAAATAATGAGATAAATGATATATAAATTGACAAAGTCAAAGATAGTTTTGATATTTTATAGCATTTAAAAGATAGCCTCCAGTTATATCTAATTAGAAATACTACTTGGTAATTAAACCAAATGATCCCCAGGAACCCAGCTCTATTAAAAACCATATCATCAAAGATGCAGGTATTGATGCAAGTGAGTATTTTTCGAATACTGAAATATTCTACCTTGGTTATCATCAATTAAAAATATATGTAAAGGTAAGAGAAGATAGCCTATGTAAAATGCCAACTATTCTACCTGAATATCCATAGATAGTCTAAGATAATCCATTGCGGCATTTAGCGAAGCTTATTTTCCTCAGTTCGGTGAAACATATTTAGTATTTTGATGACAAAAAGGTAAGATAATCGTAAGTCTGCGAACAAGGACAAAGCCTAATTATTAATAACTAGAGGAATAACCATAGAAATAGAAATTGAATCAAGTGCAAACGCAAACAACTGACAAATTTCAGTTACATGTAGACACTGTGACATATTTTTTGTAATTACAAATATTAAGGAGATATGAATCGTGTTTGCTAGGAAATTCATTTTTTGCTAAGGTAGCAAACTATACCGCTTTAGCAGAATTAATTAAAGCGCTTTAGAACGACTGTTATTAGAGAGGGGTATAATTCACAAAATACGGATAATGACTGAATTTGTGTAACAAAAATATGTTGCCAAAATGTAATTTCTAATACTTAAAAAGTTTTCTTCTAACACGTTTAAACTCATATAAGTAATTTATTTAAAATTAAATGCGAAATAAATCGGATAATGACATTTGAACCATATCGTATATTATGCTTTTCTAACCATGGATAAAAATTCGATGCAAGGTAATATAATACTTTAAATAAAAAATATTTTTAGCACTATAGGATACAAAGTTGGATTAATTAAACTTCTGCTTTATAAATGTGAACAACCTTGGACACAATTACAGTGTCGCCAATGTGGGTTGGCTGCTTGCTTGTTATTCTTCCTATTATTTTCCTGATAATGCAGTAAATCTATTAATTTTCAATGTTTAATTTTTCTGAATTATATGCTTATGCTGTGTTTTCAAAAAATTGTGTCAATGGAATTTCATGCATTTTAAATTTTTGAGTCTAGAATTTTGTTCCGTATGCTTATTTTTACTCAATTTAGTTCTTTTTCATCTAGGTAATGAATGATGAGGAACAATTTAAGACTGCCTGTGTAGAGGTGTATAAGTGCGCTTATCAACACTTTGGGGGTGAAGAATTGCCAGAAAGTCGAGATAAATGTATTTGCAATGCTCTTTCGTGGATAACTCTTTCAAATTCTCCTCCTTTGCGCATTTTAGGCCAGAAACTCATTCGCAGGGTCCTCTTTCTTCAAGCATATCATGTAAGTTTCTCATTCTTCTTTTTCATATATTCATATAAGGAACATATCGTAAGAGAAATTTTGCAAAGGATTGATGTACATGAACCTATATGTTTACTCGAATTACTTACTGCTTCTCCTCCTTCTGACCATATTCTCCAAGCTTTGCATCCGCATTGGCCGAAAATTCGAAGGTATTTTATCCAGCTGCTAGATTATCAGGTTGGAATAATCCCATCCGTGTAATTATGACTTTCATTTAGTGCACCGAGGAAAGAGTTAGCAATATTCAGGACATGTTCAAATTTTGGAAGCGATGTCTTAAGGCTACTATGGCTGCTCGCGGTCACTTGGCTTCAGAGTTGATTTGCCTTCTTAACGTTGGTATTTATTTCAGTTTTTTTACAAATTCTATCAAGGAGACTGTTGCTCTTCTCCGTGGTATTTTGGCCTTGGGTGCGCCAGCAGTATCTTTGCTTGGTTGCTTTAACTTGCTGCAAAAACTAGTTGAAATTGTATGCTTCGATACCTGGACATTCGGTCTAAAGCTCAAACGACCTGGTTTTGTTAATGACCAGCTTTACAATGAGGTTTTGTCCCTTCTAGTCGATCTGAAATCAGCTTCTCGAGTCTCATCTTCTGACGTAGAGTATTTCGAGTTGGAAAAATTCGAGATTCTTTCCACTTATGTAATAGCCCGGGCCTTGTATGCTTATGGTAAGATTTTAAATTTGGAAATGTATTTCTGAAGAAATGTGAATCGGTAGTGATTTTGTTTTTATCACGAAAGTAAATTCTAAGAATAGTATAAACAGGAGTCGCCAAAATTGACCAATAGCGTTAAGGGGTATGAGGTCATACCAACCCGCTTATATACCTAATTAGAAAATATAGGAGCGATGATGAAAGTCGCTGAAGATGTGATGTCCTTTCACTTTGCTCTTTATTAGAAAATTATAATAGTTACTGTATTTCTCATATCTCTCTAGTAAGGTGTTACCCAACGGTTATTAGTTAAGCTTTGCCGATTCGATTGCAAATTCTGCTCAAGGGTTTGTATGGTATCTACTGTTTCACTAGAGGAGGATTATTTAATGAAATTTGCGAATGGGAGCGCTCGCATTACACACGCCACCGTGGAGATGTCTTAGATACGACTGGTGGGGACAACTATTAGTTGGGCATTGCACCTATCGTGTTGCCTCAAAACCTCGTTGACTCGGGTGTAGGCAAAGGAGAATGATAACCCTGTCGCTTAATTCTACTTGCCTTGGGCAAATATTTGCCATATTACTAAGTTAGTAGCTTCGAACTAGTTTAAACCACAGGACACGCTGCTATTGAAGACTTTGAGGTAGGCTAAGGTATTTTTTGGAATCCAGCATGCTAGTTAGATGACACGCATGCAGATTGGCTTATAAGGTGTTTGAACTCCAGTTATGTTCAGCTACAGTCCCGTATTGGCTTGGACGGAAATAGTCATTTTGAAAAAGTCCCGCTTCCTTTCGCCTTTGTATTCTCAAAGCTTCTGGGCACGTGTTTCTATCTTTCCATATATCTTATTGATCTTCATGTCTCTTCATTCCATATCGCTTTATCCATAAGATGTCCATTTAGGCTACGCTTCCTACACCATCACTTCACCATCTTTTTATCATTTACAAAAGGATTAACAGTACCTTTTTCATTCAGAGGGGGTTCGTAATGCCATGTCTTCATTATGATTTGAAATGAATACTGCAGGGTTAGATCATATATATATATATATATATATATATATATACATATGTTTGTATGTATGTATGTATGTATATATACAGTTTAAAGGGGGGCATTTACGGCAAAATTATTGGGCAACACATGCCTAACTTTACCTAGATTAGCTAGGCTGTGCTTTGTTATGCCCTACCGCTTCTATAATGTTTGTTAATTCACAACTAACATCTGCTTTAAATGATTTGTCAATGAAATTAACTTTTACCTTCAATTTTTTAGGTGAGCATCCTAAACTTTTAGCCAGATGGTTATCCATAGAGGCTGAACAGATTATTGAAATGTACGCTGAAGATGATGTCATATTATTTCGGATGTTGATTACTCTCCTAATGATCGAAAACAAGCACCTAAAATCACTGTAATTCTCCAATCTCATTGGCTATTCTTAATTAATAATCTATGTCTTATTGGTTGTTTATTTTCCAGCGGCAAAAATAAATCGTCAATCGCGTCTGCCCATGATCTATTCGCGAATATGCTCAAGTGGATTAATTTTGATCGCCATGTAATTGTTGATTGGCTCGTTTCACCCGAAACAGACTGTTTGACTTACCTCCTCGCCTATACAAAGCGGCTTGGAGCCGCGTCTAACAAGGAGATTGCTCCTGAATATAGGGATTTATGGCGTCCTTCTGATAAATGGCTGGAGAAGCATGGAGAAGACGTAAATACATTGTTTTCTGAGATTGTGCAGAGTCTCACAACTCTAAATTTTAATAATTCACTACCATTTTCACCAGAATTATTGATTGCAAATATTAATAATGCAAAAGAAATTTTAATGTAGATGAATATTTAATCTTTTCAATACAGTTTTGAGTACGTTTAAAACATTTGCCACCTGCTGCTTTAAATGAGACGGAAAGGTGGAACAAAGTTTTAGTAATTTTTTTGCACATGCGTAAACAGAAGAGACTTAATTTAAAAGTTTGATATAAATTTTTACTTCTTAGTCATTTGTTCCTTTCATTTTGCCCATTTATTATATGAAGATGAGCAGAGACCACATACAATTGTTTCAAGCTATCGATAACTTCAAAATTCTGATGAAACTTCAAACTCTTACGCTGTCAGCTGTTATTTAACTTAATTCCGAGTTTGATTCTCCTTCCTCTGATTAGGCTATTTTAATGCTTTTGATACGTGTTCTACTCATTATGTCGTTCCTTTTAGAACACTTATGGCCATAGAGGGAAAATTTCTAGTGATATTTCAGAAGTTTAAAGGTTTCGTCCCTTGAGCACTGGCTTGTTGATTATTGGTTTTCGCTATTGGCTAACCAGGCAGCATCAGTCTTTAACCATGTAGACGAATTCGCTTTCCAAAGCATGAATAACAACTCTGAATTAACGTTCAACAGTACCATACCAGGTTTGTATTCGTGTACTACCCCTGTGGACACTCAACTGCACTAATCTAGTTTATGCAAAGCGACTAGCAAATACTTTGTTTTATCACCAATGAACCATCTCCGTCCCATCCGCCTCCCCCCCCCACCTTCAACAACGATTAAGCTTCAAGAGAGTATAGTTTGAAAATAAAAATGACATATTTCTGATTGCATCATCAGAAAAAAAAATGAGAGGAGATAATTCAAGGCAATTTACCAGCTGCCTCTCGTAAGTGATAGATTGTATTTGGATATTCTTCTGGGCTCATTCCTAGTTCTATATAAGTTGCTTCTAATTTTTGAGCAATTGTTATGAATAACTGCCTGATTTCTTGTCCATACCTTGAAATGAAGTCGGGAGGCATATAATAAGGCGGCCCGTCAGAAGTATTTGTTCTCGGTTCCCATCTAGAAGAAAGAACACGAGACACGAAGGCAAGTATATATTGCATTCCATCCGTTTCGAATGGCATCAAATCATTGGCAAGTTCTTCGCAGTTAAAGTCATATTTCGACATCAAATTCGCAAATAACCAGTACGATGGAGCGTAATCATATCGAACACTAGTAAAAGGAAAAAAATTGTGCGGTGAAAAATTTATCACAGGCACGTTGTAGATGATGTCAATAATACATAGGAGGATATTCTGAGGCCACTCCTATAAAATCCTCCTACTTTTCCAACCTCCCACTAGCCAAAAGTAACCAGTTTGGTTAGCCATCTGAATTCTTTGATTTGCACCGAAGTTTTCCAACTCATTCATAAATGGCTTTCACAATGTTGGTAGTGCTTATAGATAGAAATTCAACTCGAGATCACTGATTTTGCAAATAAGTAGTAAATATTTTTCCCATTACTCACTGTGTGTAGAAGAGCAAAGTATTTTCGATGAGAAAATCACATCCTATTAACCGTTTCTTAACCGCTATCCAGCAATATGCATCCCCGAATGACGACTACATGACCTATGATTATGCAGAGATTCACATTCACGCGATGCTACCACTTTCATACAGTAAATTAATAATAAAAACACTTACGACAAGTAACGCGCTTTCCATTCAAGCTTTAATAAAGTGTACAATGCTCGAAACAATAGTGTTTTGGTGGGTAAAAAAACGTCTAGCAGCACGCCTACCGGAAAATTTATACGCAGAAGCCACCGTTTCTCATTAGGACCTGTATTTTAATTAAATAAATACGGGTTTTAAGTCTTTGTAATAATAATATATGTATTTAAAATAACTGTATTCACTTACAGAGTGCATAAACAGTGCGAATAACGGTATACATGTACATTCGAATAAAATGTTCCGCTTGGAAGAACTCATTGTCCAGATGTCTTGATCTTTCACGATAAAGTGGTTCCGTAGATTTTACAAGACTCCCAATTGCGATATGCCTCTGGGACTGTCCTTCCTTTGGGTTAACACCAAATGTCCAAGTATCGTATAAGGTCACTTCAACTATTTTTTGCAATATACTTATATAACCATTCAGTGTACAATCTGGCGCTCCTAAGATCAATATTTAAAGATAAAATATTACCAAACAAAACATACCACTTTCCAATACTAGACGAAGGAACATTATAGTTTCCTTAATTTCCTAGATAAGCTCACTGGAAACCGACTCTTACATGTTGTAGTAACGCAAATTGTCTTTCAACTTGATCTTTTATTAACATATGTGCCTTGAGGCAACGCAACCAAAATCGGAATATCATTCGAATACTTCTTTTTCCATCATCGGTGGGGTTTGTTTCCTAGTTAGATCAGATTAAGTAGATTACTTCGTATTTCAATAAGTCGCTCACCTCAGCATTGATTAAACGAATACAATCTTGGCGGATTTTTGACCATTTATCTACCAATTTTCTCAATATGTACGGACATGGAAGGGATGGGTTTATCATCACTAGTAACTCCACCAAATCACGACCTTGAGTTAATTCAAAAATTGCATCCAGCACGGATTTCTGATTGTTTTCGGAAATAAACGACAAATATTACTGTGCATAATTAGAGGAGATTAGAGATTGTGCATTAACGATTATAACAAAAAAGACCAACTCTGTATTTTCCAAGTCTGTAGCCTTCGCGAAGGACATCCAAACCCAAGAATTTGTAGGCTGGATAACAATCACGAAGTGACATCTTAATTGCGCAGTAAATACATTTTGCAATTGGATCTTCAAAGTTCTGAGCTCCCTCTATTTTAGCCGATGCTTGAAATACTAACCGACAATAAGCATCAAATCTACCACATTCAGGCATTTCCTACAAATAAAGTTAAATAATTTTCAGGAATGTTGCATATATCACAAAACAAAATCTCTGAGCTCATATTACTGTTGCTGTAGACTGTTTTAAGAATGCATGACGTAAATTTTTTGGAATGTAGTCAATCGATTTTAGTTTAGCTAATTAAGTTGAATCGATATTTGAATGATCAGTTTTTCTATCGGAGTTAAGAATGAAAAAATAAAAACTTTACTACCCGTTTTTCTTCCGCAAGCAAACGTAAAGTATTAATTGATCTATACTCTTTCAAATAGTTCTTTTCAAGTATGACATTAGGCCAGTCAAAAGGAAAAATGTTTTCCTTTTATTTGGACAAGAAAACAAAAAAGGGAATGTAATGATGGTGACCAATAAAATTGTTTTCAGTTTAATGATCTATTCTGGAGGCGAGATTCACATCAGGAACACCGATTTAATAGATAGCATCCCTATTCACGTTTCTCATGACAAAGCAAAACGAATTCTTTTCACAGGCATCATCTAAACAGTTAGAATTAGCAAAAATTCGAATTTTGGGACAGGAAGGAGAGAGATCGATAGTTAGGACAGCCCACCTTTCCCTAAGCTCCGGTCCCATCAAGTTGTTCACTTTGATTTTAATCAGGAATATTAGCGGTCTCGTTATATGTAGAATCTGGATGATATGCTTGATTTCAAAACTACTATCCTTCTAGTGGTTAGGTCAACTAAAATACTTATTGATTACCCAGTACGATTTTCATCCTCGAGAAATCATCTAAGTCCATACAACAGAGTGTAAGCAGGACCTTAAATTTGAGCATCTCTTTCATTTATTGGCACAGGCCACTGCTTCATGCTCCCAATTTCCAGCTTTCGGGGTGTGCGATAGACTCACCTTCACGTTGTGCACCCTGGGCAACGTATGCTCATACGGCAAAAAAGTCTAT